CTAAAACTGCAATGAGAATAACCGCCATAAACTCGAATAACATTATGTAAGAATGCTTTTATATGACAAATAATAAAATAAACTTTCGTAATTCGGACAGAATGCATATCACATGGTCAGATTCTAACCACCTATAACATACAATCAACAAGCTAAAGCACTATAAAATAACATCAATTATCAAAACAATAAAGAACCCCCCCCCCCCCCCCGCGAATATTAGCATTAGTTATTAAAAGAGAAAAAAAGGAACATGTAAGGCATGTTTTATTATCATCCCAAATAGTTCAACATATCAAAATTAGCTCATATTCTGACAGAATCTTCCCAAATAATTCAACATATCAAAATTACATCATTTACACCAAAACCTTATCTTTTTGACATTATATCAAACACTTGGAAGACATGTTTTATTATCATCTAATTAAAGCATCAAACGAAGAAAACATCTTTATCTTTTCTAAAGAAATCAAACCAATCAATGATAAGAGAAGAATAAGTAAGGAAGCTTACATGTTTTTGAAGGTTTCAGTTGAAAAAAAGTAACACCAACAATTGCTATTCTTCCCTCCCGACTACTCATTCTTTCTTTCTCTCGATAACTTGAGATTCCATGCCTTAAAATCGAGACTCCATTTATGACAGAATTGGATTTTAATCTTCTATTTCGTCATAATTGTTGTCATAACGACACTCTTTGACTATGTAGACATAGAAGAAAATAGGTGTGTTGGGAAATTCCATCAACCAAAATTGTAAATCATACCTCAGAAAAACCAATTAAGAGTTTTTCAGAAAAGATAATACAAATATAAAAGATATGATTAGAGAAAAACTAAATTGCGATAGAAGAGAGGGGTTTATGTATAGATTCTTCAAAATCTTGATTTTTCAGACGATTTTCAAGTTTCGATTTCGATTACAAAATTTGATTATGTGAAAAACGATTTCAAATTGGAGAACAAAAACTCACCAATTGGGAAAGACCAGAATTCGAATGAGGACAGAGGATGGCATTGCCGATGGCTACGTCTGATCGTGGTGGTACAGATAAAATCAACGATATGGTGGATTGATGGTGTTTTGGACGTGTGAGGAAACTGAAGACAAAAAAGATGTATCTAGCATTTGGAGGAAGCCATCATTAGGGTTTATAAAACTTATTTATTTTTGTTTCTTTAATTGTTGGGATTTAATTAAATGATCACATTAATTACAAGGTGCAAAAAACCTGAAATACCTTTTTTGATTTAATTAGTTATTTAATTATTTGCTAATTTCTGATTGGTGCATTTAAGAAGACAATAGTTGTTAGAAACATTTGAACCTATCTCTATATAAACCTATATATATATATATATATATATATATATATATATATATATATATATATATATATATATATATATTATATATATATAGAGGTAGGTTCAAATGTTTCTCACATCTATTGTGTGCTAGAATGCACCAATAAGAATTTAGTAAAAGTTATATGTATGTTAAATGATATCCATACTTATAAGTCTTTTTTATAGAAACTAATTAAATTCGTCATTAATGTAAACAATAATATTCTTTCAGAATGAATTCGTATCCAGAAGAATGAGATGTATTCTAGCAGAATGAGAGTGTATTCTAGTAGAATACACTCTCATTCTTCATATTCCATGCAACTTTATTGTATTTTATGTGAGTGAGTTCTGAAACAAAAAACAAACTCATACAAAAAAACACAGATGCGAATTCATTCTGAAATAATGTTATTGCTGACATTATTGACGAATTTAATTAGTTTTCATAAAAAGAGAATTATAATTATGGATATCATTTAATATACATACAATTATGGAAATCATTTAATATCTATCTTTATTTAATTAAATAATTATTTAATTTTACTAAATTCCTATTGGTGCATTCTAGCGCACAATAGATGTAAGAAACAAAATAACCTAGCCCTATATATATATATATATATATATATATATATATATATATATATATATATATATATATATATATATATATACTTTTACCATTGAATTAACCGGTCTTTTCCTTTTCTAATCATCGTTTATCACCTCTCGATCCGTATTAACACATATTGCTATTTTCTAATGGGAAAACTACTTACCGGAGTAATCATCTTTATCGTTTTGTTCAAATTTACACAATTTTTTTGTACATATTTGACCATTTGACTTGTTATATATGTTTACATATTACCATTGCCACCGACTATAACATGTGACAATGGTAATATGTGATATAGCCGGTGACAATGGTAATATGTGAACAAATTTAACAAGTTAAAATGTTAAATGGTCAAATGTGTACAAAAAAGGAAAGTTGCTTAAATGTAAACAAAACAAGAGTTAATTACCATGATAAATCATTTTTCCCACTTTTAATAGCGTTTTTATTTTTCATATTTGTTTCTATTATTTTTTTCAAATGTTATTTTTAAAGTATCCATAATGTCCTATAAATTAATTAAATATTTATCAGTTCTAAAATTTACTTTTTAATTAATAAATATGTTTTTGTTTTATGAAATATTTTATATTGCCTCTTATATTTTATTTTCTTTTGTTTTTAAGCATATACAATATTTTTAAAGTAAATAGTATCTAACAATAAATTTAATTAAATTAAATATGTAACAATAAGTATGAAGGGTCTTTTAAAAAAATAAATAGAAAGTACTACAAGCAAATAAAAAACAAAAAAACTCTATATAATGTAAATGTTTTAAAATTACTATAACTTTTTAATTAGAAGTTTATAAACTTTTAATTTTTTAATACAACGTTTTAAACTAAGATTTAACGAAAGTATTTTAAAATGTTGTAAAGAGTATTAAATTGTCATACAAAATTTGTGAAAGTATAAGAAAGTTTAGAAATACTTGTATGAAAGTTATAAAAAAAATTGTATGAAAATGTAAAAAAAAAAAGTTCAAACATGTGTAAGAAAAATTTAAACATTAATAAATATTTGGTTTAAAAGCACTTGTATTAAAATTATATGAACGTATAAAAATTTATATATATATATATATATATATATATATATATATATATATATATATATAAGCAAAGTTTTAAACATTGTATTAGAAAAACGTATAGGAAAAAAATATCATAAAAATGTTGTAAAAAATTATAAAAAGTCTTAAGAAATTTGTAATTTTTTTTCTCACTTTTAGACAACTTTATTTTTTTTGTATATATTTGACAATTTTATTTGTTGAATGTGTTCACATATTATTAGTGTCACCTGTTATAGCAGACGACAATGGTAATATGTGAACACATTTATAGCATGTGACAATCATAATATGTGAACATATTCAACAAGTTAAATAATCAAATTTATAGAAAAAAAAATTGTCTAAACGTGAACAGGACCAAATGGTAATTACCCTAATAAATCATTTTTTTTTTCTAATTATTAAGGATCTTTTCTTTTTAAATTCCAAATGATAATATTAAAAATATAAAAAATTATTTTGATTGTTAAGCCGAATAAATTTCAAAATATCATTGTTAATATAAAATTTAAAGTTTTAGATAAAGATTTATGTAAAAAACAATATCTATGATTTAATCTAAAATTTTATTGAAAACATGTTATTTTGGTACATTGATCCAATTATGTTGTTTTAATTAATATTAACACCAAATGTTGCATTTTTTTAATTTAAAAAGAAAAAAAAAAAGGTGATAGACAAAAATATTACCACACCCTACTCATAAGTAAATTGTGGCAAAAATAATAAAAGCTTTTTTTAATTTAAAAAGAAAAAAAAAAGTTGATAGACAAAAATATCACCACACCCTACTCATAAGTAAATTGTAACAAAAATATCACCACACCCTACTCATAAATAAATTGTGGCAAAAATAATAAAAGCTTAGGTGACGTCTATTTAACATATTTTTTTTATAGATAGAAATATCTCCACACCATTATCCTAATAAAATCCGTTTTTTTCTAACTTCCCCGTCTTATATTTTTTGCTTTTTGTATCATTTCCAATAATACTTTTATTGGAAGTAATACCCTCATTAATGCTTTCCTTTTTATTGTGAGAAATGATGTGGATTGAGGAACAAATTTGGAATGCTCATAATTTCCGTTTTCCAATTGGTTGACTGTTCTTCACGCGGTAGTCTTCAACGTTTTTTTCGTGATTTTTTGACGATTGAACAATGGCCGGATCAAGTGGATGAGCAGCCGAATATTCTTCAATACTTTGACCTTCATGCACGCTGTTGTTTTCCACGACTTTTCGTTTGCTACCGGACGTGATTTTTGACGTGAAATAGATGATAGTGTTTGGATCGAAACAGCATTCAAAAGGGACGCATACTTGATTTTTTCCATTCGGTTGCGAGTTCGAACTTCGTCCATTTTGTCTAATATAAATATATAATAGACGGCAATGGAATGTCTCCTTCCTCCACCGCCCACAGGATCTTCCCCTTCATCCGTTTCTTCTCCATTTTGCAGATTGTCATCATTCTTCCGACATTGAAAACCAATGCATGCATCATGAACGATAGTGTTTTTAGTGATGAGTTTTTTAAGATCCTCATCACTAATCTATTTTGAAACCGTTTTTGGATCGGCACGTTTCCGATTAATTGCTTCATCTCTTCTTTGCTCCAACCGAATGGTGTATCTCGGGCGTCGGAGATGCGTGAAACGGGATCATCCGTGCCCATGATGAAATCCGGCGAAGAAGAGGCCGGAAAGCTCAAGAACACGAAGAAAGCTTTAAAATCGGTGTTTTTTACGAATTGCTTTTCAAGAAACGACTTATAAATTTACAGTAAAAATTGGATCTCATAAGGGTTTTTTTTTTTTTTTTTTTTTTTTTTTTTTTACTTTTTTGTTGAAGGCATTAGACGTTGAAGATTTAACAATTGGTGTATACGATAAAGTTGATACCGAATGGGGACAAAAGCTTTAAAGATAGCCAGAATGGTGCCTCAGTTGGATAATTCTTGAGAAATCTTTGTCGGCCTAGCCTTTGGATCCGTGGAAATGCATGCTAATGCGACATCATAAACTCGGACAATTTCCTTTTCAATCAGTCTGTCGGTTGGATAAGAGAGTCGCTCATCTAATATGCTCGCCAATGTGGGAACATATTGGTTGGAATAATTGAGATATTTCAGGAGATCTATAAGGTCTCTGGGATCCTTCCCTCCAATTGTCTCAAGTGCCAACACCCCAAAGCTATACACATCACATTTTTCTGTCACAATGGTGTTATACGCAAGTTCTACATTCAAAATGTGTTACTTGTTAGTAAAACCTTCAACTGCTAATAGAGGTAAAAGAATCATCATATATATACCTGGAGCAATGTATCCCAAAGTTCCTATGACTACGGATCGGTTGGAGGAATCAGGGTCTAGCACTTTGGCTACTCCAAAGTCGGCAACAAATCCTTCCATTTCTGAGTTCAAGAGAATGTTGTTGCTTGATATGTCTCGATGAATGATGGGTGGGCTGTATTCATGATGCATGTATGCCAAAGCATGGGCTACCTGTTTGATAATGTTAACCCTCGTCTTCCAATCCAATATCACAGCTAATTCACTGTCAATCAATGCGCAAAAGAGGCTCCCCTTTCCCATGTGTTCATATACAAGGAAGTTGCATGTGGTATGCAAACAAAAACCATAGAGTTTCACAATGTTTTTGTGCCTTATGTTTGTTAAGACTTGGATCTCAGTCATGAAACTCCTGTTGAACGCTGGTTGCTTGGCTTCAAACCGATGGAGTTTCTTCAAAGCGTATGTTTTACCATTAGGCAGTTTGGCTTTGTAAACACTACCATAGCCACCGATTCCAATGCAATATTTGAGGTCGAAGTCCTCTGTGGCCTTAATGAAGTCTTCATATGCAATTGTTCCATCGTAATTCAATACTGTGCGAACATCTCCATGTTTTTTGGTTTCGAGTTCGCTTTTCACTGTGGTTGCCTTTCTATTATGGTAAAGCCAATAACAAAGCATTAAGAAGCAAAATCCAAAAATGGGACATGTGGCTGCTAACATGAAAGGAAGGATCTTGATTCGCATGGTTATTCAGTAATGATAATTTTGGAGGATGTGGTCTGTATTGTTTGATCAATGTGTCGAATCAGGACAATTGATAACCTCATTATATGCACGCGGAGACCCTAGACTTTGGAACTCAAATGGAGAAGAGGAGACCTAAGTCAACACGTACTTGTTTCATTATATTTTTTCTACCCTCTCCTATGGGTTGTGTTTGATGTGACGGTTGCACCACATTTATTCTCTTCCATTTGAGAGGCTGTTTCAAGTTGAACAAAGACAAAATTGCAAAAATGGTCCAAAGATTTCTCCACAATACAGACCCATGTTCTTTCTATCAAGCCAATACCTACCCGTGGAGAAGCTTATCATCTTACTTCTGAAGAGGAAAAAAGAAGGCAAATCACAATGGCCAAGAGAGCACATGTGGAGCCAACTGCATTCAGAACCCAAGGACGGCGCGAAGGACCATTTAATTCCAAAGGGAACAACAAAAGGACCTGCAAAATTATGTGACTTTGGTCCAAACACTAAAAAAAAAAAATCATTTAATGGCACATATTTTTAGTGGCATTTATCTTTGGTGTCACTAATTTTGCTTTTCAATGGCACTTTGCATATGCCATAAAAAAGAGAACTAGTTTTAATGGCATTTTATATTTTATGTCCTTTTATATAGAATTAAGTGGAACAAAACAAATATATATATATATATATATATATATATATATATATATATATATATATATATATATTTACGATGCTTCAATTTAACTTTACATGAAATATATATATTAATTTATAGAGTGAGGCTTAGAATTAAGGATGGGATAAAAAAAATATATGTGCCATTAAAACTTAAAAAATGAGGCCTAGAATTAACGATGGGATAAAAATATATATATATATATGCAATTAAACTTAAAAAAACATCTTATCTTATTTTAAATGAAAAATATATTCAGTTTTTAAATGATGCGTGTAAAGTACTTTAGAATACAACTAATGTGCCATTAATTTAGACCTAACTTTCATTCTCATTTGTGGCTCGTTTTCCCCTTCTCTTGTGCATCTAGTAAAAATTTCAGCTTGGCTTCCCCTTTCCCTCCAGCATCAGGTGAAATTTTTAGTTTCCCTCCATTAAAAGTTGAAACCGACCGCCAGGGAACCTTACTGGTGAACTTTAGGTTAAGTTTCACCTTCACTCGGGTTCACTAACACCTTTTAAAATTCGATCGATCTCTGCTTCCTACTAACGATTCGATTACAGGTATCAACATCAATCTCTGGTCCAAGCCTACTGGGTCAACTGGTTCCTTGTTGCAACTACGATTTTTCTCTGCTACATTTTTCCTCCATAGGAGTTAGCTACTTCAGCAGGTATTCATTCTATTTTCTTTGTTGTTTTTTGTAGTGGTTTGTCTACTGTCATTTCTGTTTCTTGATTGTGAGACCTAATTACTCATACTCATGCCTGATAAAAAGTTTGAGAAGCATCTTATACTAATATCATTTCTTTTGTTATAGTTAATCTTCTGTTGTTTCTCACTATAAGTCATGGACAGATCTTGGATGTATCTTGCACCAAGATCAAGTCAAACTTTTGTTAATGGTGTGCTAAACTTCTTGAATTTTGCATTTGAGAGAACAAGTGTCAACGGGGGGATGATAAAGTGTCCATGTACAAACTGTATAAACATGGAATATCAGAATAGACAAATTGTTCTAGATCACCTCATATGTTCAGGGTTCCGTCCAAACTACTTGAAATGGGTATATCATGGGGAGGACATAACAGTTGCATCAACAAGCACAACCCATAACGAAGAAGAAAGCATATTTCACCATGAAATGTTGAATGATATTTTTGAGATGGAAGGTGGAAGGGGGGAGGGAATACATGAGAATGCCTTAATAATAGTCAAGAGATGGGAAATGGGAGAAATAAATTCGATGACCTTATGATGGAGGCTGAAGAGAAAGTGTATCCGAATTGCAAATACAACAAATTATCATGTGTGGTGTATTTGTACCATTTAAAGTGTCTTGGTGGTTGGAGTAACAAATCTTTCTCTATGTTGTTAGAGTTTTTAAAGGATTTGTTACCTGAAAGAAATTTATTACCTAAATCAACACATCAAGTAAAAAAGACAATATTTTAAGAACTAGTTACTCGTTGTGAAATTGTGCGTATGATCCTTTTCAACGTGCGTATGATCCTAGCCTTTCTATTGATGAAATTGTGACACAACAAACTAAAAAAGACAATAGAGTGAATCCAACTCAATTTAAAGAACTAGTTACTCGTTGGTTCACTTCTGAATTTCAGGTAGATCTGTAAGTTTCATTTTATGTATATTTTAAGAATGTGTATTAATTTACTATTTACCTTAGAGTACATGTGCTGTAAAAAGAACGAGTCGTGAAAAGATACACGAGCCTCATGTTACGGGAACGAAATCATTTGCCAGACTTGCTCATGAAATGGTATTATTCTTGTTTTTTTTAGTTTTATTTATTTATTTGTCTTTTTTGGTTTTCATTTCCTTTAATAGCTATATATTAAACATATATTTTTTCCTTTTATAGGCAATAAATAATAATGGTGTATACCCATCACGAGGAGAAATGTATGTAACAACCCGCACTCGTAAAGATGGAAGTATTGTTGATGATAAAGTTGTTGAACTTGTGGTAATGCACTTTTATGTATTTTAAATGTTCCTATCATATGTATGTTTATTTTTTATCATATATATGTTTATTTTTTAAATATTACATGTGTTATGATATATTTAGGCTTCATTGAAAGCTATTGGAAGTGACTCCATAAGCACACCTAGAGATTCAAGTGATATTACAAATGATAACTACTCAAAGGTTAAAGGCCCAGAGAAAAGGGGGTATGTTCGATTAGTTGGAAGGATTCCGGCTGCAAAAAAGAATGGTGACTCTTCATCAGATTCACAAACTGTTCATCAACTAAAGAGTGTTGTCAACGTTATGGCAAACATCATCCAAGAACATATCCCTAATGCAAACTTGTCTGCAGTTCTTAGAAATATGAACATAGAGGTAATTACATGCACTAATACTTAGTTTATATTTTATGTATTAATCATATTAATTTGTTTTCATTAATATGTTTTAGGTCCCTAGTATTTCTTCGGTCCCTAACAATTCTATATCAGTTAACCAGATATCACCAGTAAGAAGTCAGGATAACAATGGTATATACTTTACTTTTCAACTTTTCACATATGTATTGGACAATACTTTTACTTGCATTTTGAATCATGTTTTCATTGTATGCATATTGAAAGGTGTTTGTTTTTTTTAACAGGTAACCACTAGTGTCATTGGTAAGAAAGAGTTTACACGAGGATCACATTACTTCCATGAAGATTTTGAGAGAGATTTAAGACCGTAATGATTTTTTGTGTTTTATGTTAGATTTTTAGACTTAAATCGACACTTATTAGGAATTTGTTTCCAAACATTTGGAACGTTTTTGGAAGACGATTTAACTTTTAATTGAAATGATGGTATTATGATTTTACAATTTATTGTTCTGTTTATCTTTTATAATTAATGATTTTAACTAATCAAAGCTAATATGTTAACTGTCTATAATGACATTTAAATTGGGAATACAGTTTTTGTAGCAAAAATTATGTGCCACTAAATGTGGTATAGATTTTAAATAACAATAGTTTTTACCGGCACAAAACTTGTGCCACAAAATATTTTTTGTATATTGTGGCAAAAAAAAGTGTCACTAAAACCTTATAGGTTTGTAGTGACAAACCAAAAAGTGCCACTAAAAGACTTTAGTGGTATTGCTTTTAGTGGCACTTTTTTTGTGTGCCGCTGATTCTTAGTAGGGTATTTAGTGGCATTTTTTAAGTTTTCTCTGGCACTTTTTGTATGCCATTAAATGGCTTTTTTTTAGTGAAAAAGTTTGATGGTGCACCAATGGTCCAATTTTGGATTTTTTTATTGTTTTTGGTCCCTATACACTTTAAATACACTTTAAAAGACAATTATGCCTTTATAATTTATATTTTTCATTTTCTTTAATTCCAGAAATACATAAATTAATTTAATTTATATTTTTCATTTATATTTCATTTGTTTTTTTTCTCTCAAGAAACACACACACACTCAAGAAACATATCACCACTAATGGATGCCACCATCACCACCGATTGCAACCACCAACAACTAACACCGTCCGCCACCATCACCACCGGCTGCCACCACCATCCACTATAAACAACTAATCCCATCCTCACCCATCTTTCTTTCCTCAGACCTCAATGAAATTTCCCCACCAGCACCACTTCTGATTGGAGTTGTCCCTACCCAAATACCACCACCTCCATTTTTCAATGATTAGGGGTTTCAGCCGCCACCACCACTGCCATAGAAGATGACGCCATCGTCACTCACCACCATCGTCGTTCTCAACCAGTATTCGCCGCCAACCACCTTCATCTCCCCCACCCTCACCTCTTCTTCCTTAACCAGATGACCCTTCACCGCTGACCACCAAACCACCGTTCATCGATTTTTTCCAAATGCCTCTCCATCCTAGAAGACCTAAAACATAAGAAAATCAGGGGGTGATCGATTGGGAAGGGGTTGAAAAGAACCTCAAATGTTTCATCAAAAGTACAGAGAAATGAAAATTCTTCTACCTAGCTAGATAGAGCAAAAATCGAACCTCATATAAAATCTTTAAAGGCTTGTCGACTGCGAGAGTCTTAGAGAGAAAAACACTAACTTGTTTCTATCATATTCTCGGTTTGGTGATATACAGGTCCGATTTCATAGTTTTCTTTACATACATCTGAATTCTAGAATTTATGCTCCTTGATGATGGTCAGACGATTTTGTATTGCCCAGATGTATATGAACTTACCCCTCTTGGTGCAAATCGAAAACCCAGAAGATGATCCTCTCTGATTTGCGTTTTTTTTTATTCTTTGGTCTGGGTTTTTTGGTAAGGTATTGGATGTGTGTAACGGTCTGGTTTGCAGATATGGAAACGAACATTTGGAGCTATCGGAGAAGGCGAAGGGGCAGTGGTAGATGGGTCGCGTCATTGGAATTTGCATCTGGGTCGCAAGCCACCGTCACCGGAGTTTGCTAGGGGTGGGCGGTGTTGCACAAGTAAGGGGTGTAGGTGGTGGTTTTCGAGCATCGATAGAATACAGGGAGAGGGTAGACCAATTACTGATTTTGGTGTTGTTGAGAGAGAGAGAGGGGTCGGGTATAGTGGATGATAATTTATTTTTCTTTTTCTTTTAAATAAAATAATAGAAAATTAAATAAAATAAATTAAAAATGAATTATTTAATGGCATATTGGTCATTTTATGTTGGGTGTGGACCAAAACCACACAAAAATGACAACTATAGGGACCAAAACCACAGAAGGTATCCAAAATTGGACCACTGGTGCACCGTCAAACTTTTTTGGACAAAAGTCACATAATTTTGCTAACCACAGGAACCATTTTTGCAATTTTGTCTTGAACAAAAGGAAATTTAGACTTATTGACTTATATGAGAAATAAAGTTTTTTTTAAAAAAAATATTTGGATTAGTTTGTATAGTAGCAAAAGTCAATAAGTCATTTTTTAAAAAGTGTTTGGCCACTATAAGAATAAAGAGTTATAGGGACGACAAAAATCGTCACTTTAAGGTGCAAAGTCGTTGTTATAGATGTCATGTCGTCACCATAGGCCTCCTCGCTTTACCTCTATCGCTTCAGCTCATTTTTTCATCACCATAACAATGTTTTAAAAACCGGTTTTTTAGTTGAACCGGTATGATGATTTCTGGTTCAACCGTTTCGACCGTTGAATAAATCGGTTTATATAATTTTCATCTTTTTTCGTATTTTCCTACACCTACATACATACACAAATCAAGAATTTGATGTCCACAAGTTCAAACATAAAAATACACATGAAAACAAGTTATTATTCAATCAAAATACATTAAAATAACACATAACCATAAGTTTTACATTAATCTATGTGCATTCAAAAGAAAATAAAGTCATAGATGAATATAAATGCATTAAAAAACTTCATAACATTTATCATATGTTTTTATTCAGAAAATCTTAATAGATGTGGAAAAACCACCAAAGTTTATTATGCAAAAGGTTTCAATTTCACGTGTTTTTATTCAATTTAACCGGTTCAAGTAGTTTTATTGAACCGGTTCAAGTAGTTTTATTGAACCGGTTCAACCATATTTTTGTAAAAACCGGCCGGTTCGATCCGGTTTAGAAATAGACATAAAACCGATGATAATTGAACCGCTCTCTTCCCCGATTTTCGGTTCAAACCGGTTTTTAAAACATTGCAGCATAGCCTTCGTCGCAATAGGTACACCTAAAGAGACGACATGTCGTCCCCATAGGTACACCTATAGTGACGACTTATCTTCCCCACAAGTGTACCTATAGCGACAACTTGTCGTCCCCACAGTTGTTTGGACACAATTTATATCTTGTCCCTGTTATTTGTTTAATTTCCTAGAATTTTTACATGAAATAAGACAAATAGTAAATTTAATTATAAAACATTGCAACATCATACAATCAAAAGCTTTAAAATATTTTACACAATTGGTTTACCAAAAACAAACTAGCCTAATTTGAAATTGTTTAGATGTTTTATATAACACAATCAATCTATTACTTCATTGAATTCATTAGAACTATTTTTCTAGTCACCACTTTCAGCTTCTTCATTTTCATTGAAACTGCCATGGTTGGGCGTTTGGCTTTTGAGATACGAACACTTGCTACATTTTTCACTTTTTCTTCCAACACCTCCTGTATGACTACTTCTTTGTCCAAATGCAAGCTTGAGACAATCTATCTGAATACACCTGTTCAAACTATATAAATAATAATAAGAATAACAATTCCCAATGTTGAATACTCCTACAATCTATGCAATCTATTTGTAATGTAACAAATAATTGTTGTCTACTTGAAAAAAATGTAAGGATTATAGTTATGTCATCTATTGTACGTATTCTCAAGGTTTGATGAGAACCATATAGTAAAATGAAAAAGAGCAAAGCAAGTGGGCCAAACGCAAAGGAATGTCCATCCCCATACCCATCATCAAGTGCAAGGGTGCATGATCTCTGCATTTGAGCATTGCTTTATTGACCATACCTATTTTGATCACACTATACTCCATGTTATAGGCTGACCATTATTTAAAAAAAATAAAACAACTCCCAAACAGAAGCCATGTTTAAATTTGACACAAAAGCATGGGCATCCTACTGCACAAAATTAATTCATTAGCTAATATATGTGTTGGCTAAAGCTTACCCGAATCTATGTCATTCAACTTGTAGGTGAATGACCTATACTCGGATCCATCTTCAAATGAACTATCACTATCTGAATCTGTTGTATGCATATCAACAACATCAAAAAATATTACAAAAATGCTAAAAAATATTAGCTACCAAGTTGATTATGACTTAAGAATCATTCATATAAACTGTTACCACTTGATGATAATCAAAATCATTGCTAGAACTGCTTGAACTACTAGACCTTCACCTACTGCCAATGGCATTATCCCTTTCCCCCTCACCTTCACCAGGAGCACTACCAGCAAAGGTCTCCTCACCTCCTTAAAAACCACAATCATTTATAACAAAATTAGCAAACATTGAAAATTTAATATGAAATGAATAACATGATTCTTAGATGATCTTACTAGTTTTATTTTCTTTCGCGGCCTCCAGAATGGACGTCATAGCCTCATAGGGTTCTGCATTAACATTTTGGGTTAATGTTGTAACACCCGGAATCTTGAGGAATAATTGTGGAAATAAATTCCCTTTCTAGGCTTAGACACGACGTGTTGGAGGAACCAACACGACATGTTGGAGGAACCAACACGACGTGTCTAAATTGAAGAAACGCGGCTTTCTTTAAGGTCAACACGGTGTGTTTATTGAGCAACACGACGTGTTGGCGGCTGGTTGAGAAAAACCTAATTTTTAGGGTTTTGCACCCTATATAATCTCCTTAAGTCCCAAGGGGTGGTCTTTTTTCAGCCTCCAACTCTCCATATCGACCCTTGAGAACCTTAATCATCTTTCCCTCTTATTTGTGAGTTAGTGTGGTGTTTTTGGAGCAAAAGAAGGAAGAAGTTGGAAGAAGGAAGTAAGGATCCAACAAGTAAGTCCCCATCCTTCAGTTTGACACTCTTCTGGACCTTTGTAAGTGTCCAAGATTCGATTTTTATTCCTCTATGTTGCTAGATCTTGAGTTTTGGCCCTTTTTCTTGTTGTTCTTAAGTGAGGGAATGGTTGGATCTCATAAACTTAGCAACTTTATGAATCTCCAGGTCTAAGTGACCTTGTAGAGGCTTGGATTTGGCCTATAGTCGAGTTTTGATGCCATGCATGGAGAGTAGGTCATAAATCTCCATTTTTGACCTATTTTGGGTTCAAGACATGTATATGACATGCATGTCTATAAAGCACAAACCTTTAGGATGTTTTTGGTGCTAGAATCTCTTCTGGAAAGGATAGGTTTCTGACTTCAAGGATTTAGTGCTTCTTGGTTAAGCCTTTGAACCTTCAAGCCTTGTGGTTGGGTTTTGGGACCCTTAGAGTAGTCCCAAAGGATAAAGTGGGAAGCTTTATCCTTCTTGATAGCATTTGGGTCTAGATCTGAGCCTTGGAGTCCATGGAATCAAAGAAAACAACTTAATGTATTAAGCTGTTGTAACTTGGGCAAACACTATGTGTTTGCAAAGCCAACACGGCGTGTTGGCTGGAGTTTTCCCGACCGTCTGGATGCTATCAAAACACGACGTGTTTGGTCAACATGGACTGTTGACCTTGACCGTTGACTTTGAATTTGACCAAGTTTGACCTTGAGGGTATTTTGGGCATTGCTGGGATTTTGATGGAATTGGTCATTTGATGGTTATAGGCATTTGAGTTGAGAGCTGAGATTCGGAGTCGGACCTTATCAGTTCTGTGTTGCTTATGAGGTGAGTTTCCTCACTATACTTTCGGGTCGAAGGCACCAAGGTCGGCCCATTGGTTTGATAACCTGATATTATTGATATGTTGAGTATGGGATAGATATGCATGCTAGTTTTGATATACTAGTCTGGTAGATCTGTAGGACTACCTATGACTATGTCTGCATGATTATATGTATATGTTTGTTATCTGTCGGCATATTGTGTTGAGTTGAGGTTGTACTGCTTCGTGTTGTAGCCAACAAACCCTAGAGTATTCCAGATATGAGCTAAGGGTCGGGTAGAGCATGCCAGACTCATACTGAGGGCTCAATAGCATTCCAGATACGAGCTGAGGACCCGGTGGTATGCCAGACTCGTACTGAGGGCTTGAGTCTAGGGGTGCAAACGAGCCAAGCTACTCGCGAGCTACTCGAGATCGGATCATTAAAAGCTCGACTCGAAACCGATTTTAAACGAGCCCGAGCCGAGCTCGAGCTTAATATTAAGCTTGTTTATTAAACGAGCTCGAGCTCAAGCCTATGTCATTAAGCTCGATTAGGCTCGCGAGCCTAAACGAGCCTTTATATAATATAATTTATTATTATTTATATATATTAAAATAAAAACATATTAGGGGAATTATGAATTTAGGGTATTAGTAAACGAGCTTTTTAACGAGCTCGAGCCGAGCTTATGCTTATTTAGGCACGTCAGATAAAAACGAGTCGAGCCCGAGCCCGAGCCGAGCTTGTATAACTCTTTACGAGCTCGAGCCGAGCTCAGTAAAAGAAAGCTCAAATCGAGCCGAGCTCGAGCTCGAGACTCATATAACTTAAACGAGCCCGAGCCGAGTCTGGCCAGGCTCGGGCTCGGCTCGGCTCGTTTGCACCCCTAGGCTTGACAGTATTGGAGCAATCCAGATATGAGTTGAGGGTCGGGTAGGGCATGCCAGACTCATACTGAGGGTTCGGTAGCATTCCAGATACGAGCTGAGAACCGATTGGTATGCCAGACTCGTGTGAGGAAACTGAAGACGAAAAAGATGTATCTACCCTTTGGAGGAAGCCGTCATTAGGGTTTATAAAACTTATTTATTTTGTTTCTTTAATTGTAGGGATTTAATTAAATGATCACATTAATTGCAAGGTGCAAAAAACCGGAAATACCCTTTTTGATTTAATTAGTTATTTAATTATTTGCTAATTTTTTATTGGT